AAAACACACCTTTCAAGGCAGCTGCAGCCACTGAATTGGTACAGTTGAACTTTGGAGCCGCTGCGTGTGTTCCATTTGCGTTAGCACGGCCGTTGACTTCGGCCAAAGAACGAGCTTGAACATCTGCAGCAGCTCGAGCATGGTAGAGAACCACAACAACGACGATCAAAGCTCCGACGATGAAAGCTCCGACAAAAGCAGCGATTTGAATCATTTTTTTGTTCCATTTGTCTTTAGTCTATGGAAACGAATCAACGAAAGGTGTGAGCCGCGAAAGAGTGCGGGTTGGAGGCTGAGTGCAGAAAATCATATGGGTAATGAAAATTAGCATGTACCTCTTTGGCGTCGACTTTGAAAGAACTGATGTTTCCGGCCTGCATTCTGATGGTATTGGTATCTGCGTAACGAGTTGGTAAAAGCTGTTAGCAGTGGATCGAGACTCAGAAGCATCGGTCGTGTATATCTATATCTCGACACGAAAGTTGCAAATTGCAAACATACTCACTTCAGAATCGTAGTGAGTGCTTCCGAAGGGATTCCGTGTTGTGAGAGTTTTGGCCTGTCTGTTTGAGACTATTTCGAGGGGGGGATTGAGAGTTCCCCATTAACATGTGTAGATCCTGTAAAATCTCCAACTGCCGTTCGTTCTATAATGTGAAGATGGAAGTTTAGCCTATCTTGATAATACAGAGACGTGTCTCTAGCGCTTGGCTACGCGTCACACACTGAGAAAGTATCTGCTTGTGGTCCCATCCGGATTTCTTCGGTGTCTTCTTCAAGCTGCAGACAGAATTCACACAGAAAAGAGGAACAGCTGTAATTAGTCCAATATGAAATTATGATTCGACTGATTTTAGAATTTGCACTAGGGGTTTGTTTCAAACGGCAGCAGTAGGTTACATTTATTCAAGCAGAATTATATCGAAGAAGTTCAATCGAAACCACACAGAGAAGATTGAAACGTATTCAGCAAGACTTCTTAGCCTATTATTTCAAAGACAAATGCCAATCAGCAAGCTACGATGAACAAAAGCACACAACACAAACTCACAGCAGCTGCATTGACCCAGTCCTGGTTGAGTCCAGCCATAGAGTTTGCAATCAACGTCACAACATTAGGCAAGTCTGCAGCGGTACCTTGCAGACCTTGAGCCAGTGTGAGTTGTGCATTCTGAGTACTCACAATCTATTTTTTTGACAAACAAAGAATTAGCAAGGGGTCTCACTTTGTTTCTTACATATATATGGCTTACAGTACTTAATCCAGCGGTGAGATTTGCATTAGCCAGTAGAGCCGCAGTTTGTTGATTTGCAGTCCCAACAGCAATACATTTCTGAATGATCTCGACCATCTTGATTTTCTCGGCAGAGAATTGGGTACCGTTGATGGTAGTTTGAGACAACGTAAAGTTCATTGCCTTTGCAACGAATTTCTCTCCAGTTTGAAGTACAGCTGTTTCGAATATGCCTTTAAACACCGTTTGAGCAACCAGATTGTCACAGAGTAGGCTACCAGCACCAGCACCAGTACCCGCTCCAGCTGCATTCGGTTTGGCAGGAGTCACGTTTCCGTTGCCGTTTACTTCAGCCAAGGCTCGCGCTTGAACAGATGCTTGCATTTGTAACACCACCGATGCCACCACAATGGAAGCACCCAGCAGCAATAGTCCAAGGAAGATAGCAGTGTACATCATCATTCGAGTTCTTTTGGCCTTGTCCTAAAAAGATAGCTTTGAGTTGTGGCGTTGTTACATGCGTGTAAAGCTCAGATTTGCTGAAGACACAAATTCCAGATTTCAGACCTCCAATGCCTCAGTCTTGAACGGATTCACATTTTGTTCCCTCATAATTTCAAGCTATACAAGCAAATCATGTTAAAACGGCTGCTTTCAGTCGGTTTCCTCCCGGTAACGACAAACACCATCTCACGTATTTGCTTTTGCGGTGAAGGTAATGAAACAGCCACGATTGACCACTTACGATAGACGATAGATGACTTCCTAGAGACCTCTTCTTGAGTCGCTCACTTGCAGCTTGAAAATTGTTGCTTTGGCTGTATTTTTTCCCAAAATTGTCGAGATTTCCCCGCTTGAGCGATGTAGCTACAAGCTGCCCAAAGGTACATGTTAAAATCGCGAAGTTTGGACTTCGAGTCTTAACAGTCTTGCCCGCTTGTGTACTCGACGCTTGACCGTTGAAAATTACCTCGTTAGTCTCGTTGGAACGAGACAATTAGTGACGCAAACACGGCTTTCGATTTGACGAGAGGTATTCAGTGCTTTTTTCGTGCTTTGATCTGATTTTTCGGGCTTCGCTAAGGCTATTGGAACGCTTAAACGAAAATAGGTTTGGCCGACCAAGAATATTTTTACTGATATCTGTCTGAAATCAAACGAAGAATCAAACAAGACGGCGGAACACTTAGCAAGACGTCATGGCCTTCGAAGATAGCAGAGTGTCAGCGATACCATTTAACAACAACAACGCCAAGCCGGGTGACTTACAGCAGTCCATAATCCTTGTCCTTATCCTTGTTCTTGGCTGCACCTTTTCAGTGTAATTCTCGATTAAAGTTTGAGCATTTATCATCGGCAGCAGTGCCTTTCAGTCCCCGAGCTAACGCCAGCTCTGCGGCTTGAGCCTTAGCGACCTGTCATGAAGGTTTTGATGTTTATCCTCTGCTTTTGTAATCCACAAGTTTGAAAGCGACCAGTGACATACATACAGCAGCAGCCCAGTATTCAAATTCGCATTTTTTCAACCCACAGAGTGCTGTTTGTCGTGCGTTGGGTAACTCCTTGTCGAATCAACTCCAGCAAGTGATCCTTTTCAGTGGCAAAGTTTGCGCTTGATATTTCCGGCTGTCAAAGTCTTGTTCAGTGCTTGTGCCGTTGCAACTTCTCCTTGTTGAATGACAATGCTGCCCTGGATTCCTGGGATGACTTTGGAAGCTTCTGCATTGGCGCATATTGGGCTTTTAGGATTGTTTGGCTAACAGCGGATGTTGCACCCACTCCTCCCTTGTTGGGTGCCGCGGCAGTACGGTTATTGGCAGCTTGTACTGTCAGTATGGCAAAGTTAATTACGAGTCGTGATCCAAGTGAATCTATGAAACCAAAATTGAAATGTTGGCGTCAGATGGTTGAAGATGTAACAACGAAATGAGTAACAAATTCAAGCAAAGGCATGCAATTTAGGAGGACGAGACCGTTACTATTGTTTTGAGATTCAAATCAAATACTTTATCCACAGTAAAGTATGACCTGTTGAACTGATTCAAAAGGACTAGTTAGAAATGCAGAAAAACCTCCCAATTTCTACAACCGTGGCAACATTCTTCTAGGATCGTACTGGATTGGTGCAATCTGCGACTTGCGAAAATGATTTTGACCTTACATTAAACTTTTACGATTCCAACGGTTTTCGGAACATATTGTAGCTCCAGCTACAAAACGTTGCGGCCCTGGTTTCCAAATAGTCATCACACATCCATCACTACCAAAACGAAACATCCCCCCCCCCCCCCCCACCAAACAAGACCCGTCGAACTATCTCCACCGCCATGGTTTGCTGTATGAAATGAAGCCAATACAAAATCGAATTTGGGTGATTTGGAGTCGTCAGACTTGAAATGTAGCAACCCCTCGTGGGATCAGCAAAAGAAATTGCCATCTAGGCCAATGTTTAGAAGAGGATATATCTTTACTGAAAACTATTTCGAAATCACACAGAAGAATTAAGAAGAAGTCGAGAAGGTTTAACATGATGTCATAGCCTACGAGAATGAAAGAGTGTCAGCGATACTATTGAAGTGACCACCGCCACCAAACAACGAGTGACTTACTGCCACAATATTCTCCTTATTCTGGGCCGCACCTCCAGTGAAGTCCTTGATCAATGTCTGAACATTGGGAACATCGGCAGCAGTCCCCTTCAAGCCTTGCGCTAAAGAAAGCTCTGCGGCTTGAGCCGTAGCGACCTGTCATCAACAGAATATTGGAGTTAGCTTTTGGCTTTTGATATCCACAAGTGTAAAAACCGACGATTGACATACCGTATCCAACCCAGTATTCAAATTAGCATTATTCAGACTAGCAGCGTTTTGCTGGTTTGCCGTGCGCTGGGTGACTCCCTGTTGAATCAATCCCAACAGTTTTGTCTTTTCGGTAGCAAAAGTTTGGGCATTGATGGTGGTGGCGCTCAAAGTCTTGTTGAGTGCTTGGGTGCTTGCCAGCTCTCCTTCTTGAATTACGATATTGGCTTGGATTCCTTTGATGACTTTATTAGCTGTTGGGTTGGCACAGTTCACCACCATTGTACCGTTGGTTCCTTTGGCAGCTGGCACAATACAGTTGGTTGCAGCTTGTGCTGTAAGTAAAAGGGCAAAGAAGACGATGATTCGTGATCCAATCTGTGAGACCAAAATTGAGATGATGGCGTCAGAAGGGTGGACGCTGGTAACGAATTCAAGTAAAGCAATCCTATTCGGACAAAGCAGAGATGCTTACCATTATTTTGATATTCAAATACGGAAGTAATAGTAATAAGACTATGTGAAGTAAATTGAAAGATTAGTTAGATGCAGGTACAACTGCAAGATGCTACAAACGTAGACGCACTGTGTTCGCTGTCGAAAGTAAGATGTGGGAACTTACCGGACGAGTGAGATCTGCACTTGCGATAATTATTATTTTGGTTGGTATTGATAGATTTAGCTTCTCCTTACTACAATTCTAGAGTTTGGAAAAATTGTGAGCTGTTGTAACCAGAACCAAATCCACGCAGTAAGGTGACAAATCCACGCAGTAAATATCTCCAACCAGAGCTGTTTGAAATAGGGAAAACAACCGACCAGAGACCCACCACACAGTGACTATTGCTGTTGAACAACCCATCACTCTGAGAACCAGCAACCACAAGACCGACACCACACGATTCGAGTTAAAGAAAGATATTTGTATTTTGTCGAACTATACATGCAAATTGTTGGCGAGAATCCCTTATTCAGATTCCTTCTTCTTGCCTGACTTTTCACTTTCTTCTTCAGCTGCTTTAGCCTTGGCATCACGTTTGCCCTTCATCCTCAAATCAGTAGCAGATACACGTAACTTCTTGAAGGCATAAGCCTTTTGTTCACCAGCTGGTAGTTTGCCGAATGCCACCACTGGGGCGACTTGCACAATTGGAATGATTGGTCCAGCGAGTTGAGTAGCGGATGTCACTTCAGTAGACTGGAATGAGAAAAAGAACAGTGTTACGATCATATGGATAGGACGACTCATTGATGCTTCTGCATACCCTCTTGCCCTTCTTGGGGAAGACAATCAATCGGCTCTTGTAGGCCTTCAATCTTTCTACGTTCATGGCGAGACCTTCTTCTGATCTGTTTTTGCGACGGTGGTCTACAGCGATACCGATGGTTCGTGCTTCCTTGCGACGAATACCAGCTTGCTATAAAGCATCAAAAACGAATGTCAGCTTGGAGCAAAAAAAGAAGAGTGATGGAATAAAAGGGTTTTAAGCTCATCATATAAGGACGACTCCATATCGATGCAAGAAAGGCTATCTGTATACAACCCTCTCTTCGCACACAAGAGGACTAGGACTTTTGTAAGATCCAACATGACATCGTACCTTCAATTCAATCAATGAGAAACCACGACCAGATCGTAATTTTGAGTTGTACTTGATGGTTTGGCCACGGACAGCAGGCTTCAATAGACCATCAATGGGTCTGGGGGCGATAGCAGCAGCTTTTTGTACACGAGCTTGTCTTCTACGGTTTTTACGTCCTGGTTGATCAAACCAAGTTTTGACTCTTAATTGCCAGTCCTTGCGGAAATGCTGGTTGGGGAGAACGTTGTTGTGCCTCATTTATTCAACTGTTTTGTAGAGTAAAGAGTCAGTATAGGGATTTGGAATGTGTGTGATTGTGATGATGGTGTGGGGTAAAGCAACACCGAAGAGGCGAGGGACGTTGGTGCATTCGAGAATTCATGGCGACAAGCCAATGCATGCATCTCCCTTCGCTGCTTATACGTTTGTTTGAGCTTTCTGTCTCTGAGACTTCAAACAACGACCAAACTAGTGACTTGCTCCATATGTACATGAAACCGTCTCAACAAGGAGATTCCATTATGCATGCACTGGTATAAACGGCGATTCTCCCCTCTTCTCTCTTCTTACCTGTCTCCTCTTGATGGATGCCTTCGAGTGTTCAACAGCGATGTTTCGAGGAGGTTGGTCAGCGCTTAGTTAAGGCTTACTAACCATATGCAGGACTGACACTGCGAGACAGGCAGGAGACCGCAATTCACGCGAAAACATTTCGCAGTATTTCAGCATTAAATTATATTATACGTCGATCTATGGTGTGGTACATGCGAATGAACGAAACCTCCTTCTTACTATTCTACATAATACAACTCCTCCAGCACCTCGACAGCAGCCTTATCAACAACGACATATTCATTCACCATCAGTGGATGAACAGTCACATGTCTAACATTGGCAACCATCAACGCCCGTTCTTTACTTCCGTCATCTAGTCTGACGGATTCAAACATGTCTGCCGCATGAATGAGATTTGTAGATGGCTGATCACTGCCTACTAGGAAGAAGCATGATTTGCCGCTTATGTTCAATGCTTGGAGACGCTCAAACAAGTCCACCTTGGATGGTGAGTCTAGTTGGAGGCTGTCAACTACTAGTAGTTGGTCTTGCAGATACTTTACAGAGAGGGCTGATCGAAGTCCTGCTTGGTATACTTTGGCTGGGATGTCGAGAGTGCGGATGTGTGGACGTGGGCCGTGAGCAGCATAACCTGGTTTGAGAAAGTGGTGTAAGGGGAGTGTGGTGATTTCTTTCCAGAGACCTTGGCCCAGCATACTGTAGGAGATGCGATGCGATATCTGCAATGTAATGATCCGAGCACAAAAAATCAAATAGATGTGTCCAACACACGTACCACCACGCATCTGATTTGCTCTAAATGTGCCGTGACGAGCAGCACCACGCCCCTTTTGGGTCAACCTCTTCACAGTACTACCACGAACTTGTCCTAGATTCTTACTAGACTCTGTCCCTTGGGCCAACCACGACAATTCATAGTCTATAGCTCGACGAATCAAATCTTGTCTAATTGGGTTGACCCCAAAGACTGAGCGATCCAATTCCATTAGGCCCAAGTAGTTGGATGTGCTGAAGCTCTGTAACCAAGCTTGTAACGGCGATGATGATGAAAGTAGCGAGTTGGCTATTGGGAGTTTTGTGAGTGTGCTTGTTCTGGATGAAACTTGTTGCGACCAAGTTGAGCTTTCAACGAAAACCCATAAATATACAATACAGAACAGGGCACTCACCTTTTTTAGGAGCTTGCACCTCTGAAATGTGCTTCTTGTCGGAGAAGGAAATGATTGGAGTATTAGCATGCAAAAGCCCCCGTTCCGTAGATATGGAAGGTACAGAAGTAGTTGGATGTGATGCATCAGTCGATTCTATTCCAACTGCACTAGCTCTTCCCTATATTTATGGATTCAATTCGTGCGCAAGTCGATTGCAAAAGAGAAAAATGCTCGACAGAGACCAAGGCTAAAGGAGAACTTACTCTGCTTAAAGGAAGCCATCCTTGGTTGGCGGCAATGATGCGAGCTACTCTCCTCGTCATACTGGAACAAATCATCGTCGCACTGAGAGATTTCCTTAAATTTGGAGACAGAACAGAGTCAGACAGCACTCAAGAGACGTTAGAAGATACACGTTGCGGATCGATATAGGGAGTATAAATTGATTTTTCACGTGTATCTGAGTGTCTGACACGTAGGAAGTCACCTTGTCTCCTGTGTGGTGAACAGAAGTGCCATCAATTGTACGCAACACAACCAAGAATGATGAACAACCTTGCATCAATCCTATCAAAATATTCTATTTTCACTGGTAAAACCCCACGCTAACGTTGCCTCACAAGCCTCTGTTTATAAACGCGGCGAGTTGGAGAATTAGAGACAGACTTCGACACATCAGTACTCTTTGGTCTTTCGAAACACAGTCTCGATCAAGCTCCATCAGCAATTCAAGCAGAATATCGAAGAACCGGTCTTCCCTATCTCGCATGTAAGTGTGGTGGTCACTGTTTCTATCTCTTGTCTGATATGTTTGGGCCACAGTCAGGGGCCTTCACTGACAAGTCTCCGTCGATTTCAAACAGTCTTCACATACATGTCGCTCAAAGAATGAGAATTTATTTATCCAAAGTCGAAGCCAATAAGGTTTACTACAACTTCCATTTAAATTAAAGGTTGCCTTCCAACTCACACTTCCACATCGTTAGGCCAAAGACAAACGAAATAAACGACTAGTTTTGATTGCCATCTCTGTGGGAGTCCTATTCTTGGGAGCCCTGATTGTCGCTGGTGTAGTGCTTTATCATGCTCGCACTACGGCAGACCCTCAAGCTCGTGCTTTGGTTGGTGTACAAGTAGAGGAAGTGCCAGCTCCAAAATTCAATTGCACGAACAAAGTGGCTGCTGCAACCTTGAAACGTGAGCCTTAGAATCAGTTTATTTTTCTTGATTGATTGTGCGCTTGTCAACTTACACTATACCTGAACTGCTGTCTTTCGTTTGAAACAAAACCAGAGCTCGTCAAAACTGCTTCTATTCAGAAAAAGGAACAAGTTCTTGGAAGATCCATTGACCACCCTCTTTACGAGAATCCCATCAATTCTACTTTATTTGACGCTCAAAAGGCAAAGCTCGTTGCGTTAAGCCGGAATGGCACCAGCGTGGTCAAGACATTACAACTGACTGCTGTTCCATTGGCCCACGCCAATTTGACTGCTGGAATCGAAATGGTAGAGTATCCAGCAACGTCTCCTCGACTCTTGTCTCAAACTAACCTGTTGATTTGCTACCAAATCTTAGATTGCCGCAGGTCAAGCTACGCCTATGTCGTTAGCTCAAGGGCTACAAGGAACAGTAGACGATTTGGACAATGTCTCAACTCTCATAAATGACGCTTGGCTCGACTTCAAACAGAGCCTGCGAAGTGGTCACGACGTTGGAATGTGTGTGTCTCTTATGGGCGGGATCTGCTGTCACCATCCCCCACTTTTAGACAAAGGCATCTTGTTTATGAACCTACAGGCTCGTGTTTCTGTGTGGTGGTTGCACTGTTTGTGTTTTCGAGTTATTGGTTTGAAAGAGATGTTGAATACGCTTTCCCAGATTTGTAATTTGGATTTCCGCATAAAGCCATTCCATACCTTTCAAAGACTGTTCTACAAGTTGCCCTTGAACTCTAACTCTGGATTGATGTGAAGGCCGCTTCAACCATTCTTTACAAAACTTGTTGGGAAAAGCACACACGGAAGTCGCTTTGCCGTGCGCCGAAAGTGACAGAAGGCCCGCTTGACACGTAGCAAGGCTCACAAGACGTGTCATTATTGAATTTCTTCTCATTGTGACCACAGTTGTAGATATTGCAGGATTAGCACATCCAAATTTTCTCACTGAAAGTGTCCCAAGCACGCAAGAAAAGAACACACAAGACTAAATCGTCTCGGTAGTAGCACCTACCATCTTAAATGTGAGTATGTTCGCTATTTCGGCTCTTAGCTTGAGATCTGGAAGAACACCTCAGGGACTATTTGCTTCCGGCGCTGACACCATTCCTGACTTACATCTTTTATTCCAACTTGTTAATAGATAATGGACGCTGAGAACGTTAATCCTTTCAAAGTCGACGCCAAAGAGGTATATTCCATATCTTTCAATTTATCGGGAAAAGTGATGTGATTTGCCCTTGGATCTCCAACCTCCTTCCATGTCGAAAATGTACTGCTTATACACTATTCTCGCTCACTCAAGTCATTAATTTCGATAGGCCAAAGACAAATGGAAGAAACAAATGCTTCAAATCGCTGCTTCTGTCGGCGTCTTACTCTTGGGAGCATTGATCGTCGTTGGTGTAGTCCTGTATCACGCTCGAACTGCAGCAGCTGCTCAATTGCGTGCGTTGCCCGAAATCAATGGTCAAGTAGTTGGGATTCCCCCTCCAGGAAATGCAGGCGCAGGAGCTGCAAAGTTGAATTGTACCAATCCAGTTGCGGCAGCTACATTGAAAGGTGTGTTTCATTGAATTGGATTGATTCAATTCTAGATGAGCCTGAAACTCGGCTGACTCCAGTTTGTCAAACAACATTAGAAATTATGCACACTGCCAAAATCCAACAAAAGGAGAGACAGGTCTCCAAGTCTATTAATATGACTTTACACGAGACTCCCATCAATGCCACAACATTCGCTGCTGAAAAGACTAGGTTGATTGGTTTGATCCAAAACTGCACCACCGCAGTAGCAGCTTTACAACAAACTGCTGCTCCTCTGGCAAACGCCAACTTGACTGCCGGTATCGCAAACGTTAGTATCTACTTCAGTACTACAACCACTTCCAGCGATTCTTCAAAACTGAGATTTAATCAAAGTATCTGCTTTTAATATAGCTATCGACAGGTCAAGCTGCACAGCTTTCATTGGCTCAAGGATTGACAGGAAACGCTAACGACTTGTTAAACGTTGCTACATTGATGGCTGATTTCACAGCTGCTTTCAAACAGAGCATGACAAATAGTCACGCTGTAAGTTCCAAGTACTTGTGTGCCACCTGATTTCTTGTTGATCTGATCGGACGATCTCTCATTTTTAGGCAAGGGCATCTTGTTGATAACCCTGTGGTCTCTCGTCTCTGTGTGGTGGTGTTATCCTTTGGGCTTTCGAATTGCCAAGATTTGTACATTGGTTGTCCACATAAAGATATTCCAAAGATTTTCAGAGAGTTTTCTGCAACTGAGGCCAGCCTGAACTAGGACATAGTTGCCGCTTTGCTGGATGTTTGCTTTTTATTTGAAGCCTTCGAATTAGGCAAGAACATCCTGACGAACAGGTGTTATTCTTCTCTGTGTGTTTTCGATCGTACTTCCTTATGCCGTCTTGTAATCTTTCGTGATTCGGAACAGCTGCAGTCTTACTCCAACACCGAGCAGGCACGATAGCCGCAAGTTGGAGACTTTAGAGAAACTACGGCATACGGTGACCTCTTTCGTTTTCGTGAGCCTGGAGTAACGGTACTGCACTGCGCTGGTACAAAACTAGGAATGTAATGACAAAAGGTGTTGTAAATCCACGTGAAAAGGGCATGTGCTGGTTTTTGTTCAACATCAAAACAACGTTGAGATGGTCAAGTGTTTACCTGAATTTGTTGGCAGCGAGAGGATTCGGACTCGCAGCAGCTTTTCCAGGATTGGAAACAGCCAAAACTTGTTCCTTCATGTAAAATTTCCACCTTTCTCGACAAGCGCTCCACCTCGCCAACACTCAGTTTGGCCTACATCTACACCGCCAGATACGACTAGCAGAGCATCGGTACCCTAGCATTACAACAGCCTCCATAATAGGTTCTAACGTCGCCTCAGTTCGACATGGATTCAGCAAGTAATCCAGTACCTACTACCACCTTTAATGCAAAAGACAAAATGGAGAGTAATTTTAATCTTAAATAGCTGGCCATGGCCAATCGTTGAGATTCCAGACAACCATGAGCTCTTTTCCAATGGTACGTGCAGGGGTCCTTGTCTTGTGCTGTGCATTCTGCGTGCCGTATTAGACAGAAAAATCGCAAGAGTAAATTTTATGGTTGGTTTAGGGTATATGTGAGCATCTGACAAGTTCGGAGGACGCGTATGGATGGTTTCAAAGGTACCAAATGTTGGGAAAAGAGAGGGAAATGTTGGGATTGTTGGTAACATAACAAGAGCATTTCGAAGCTGTAGAGCCTAATGCGAATATTTCGTTCACGTACTGTAGAGGAATTCTATTTTCAGACGGGTTTGACCGTGTCTCGTCCATAAACTTTGAGACATCCAAGAGCAAGCGCCAGTTGTGATTGAAGCAGGTAAGATCTACAACGACGTTGACTGGATCAATGCGAATGAAGGGATTCCGAAACTCTACATATTAGGATCTTGCATTTGCTGGCCTCTTCTTCTACTTCCAAAGGCGTAACTGTCTAGGATCTCCAAGTAAAACAACAATCCATGGAGTGGCTGCATTTTATATGTTGGAATATCGCCATATTCGTCGCCAGCCTAGTTGGCAGACTGCTGTATAACAATGACGTCGTCTTTAGAGTAAGTTGCCTTGGCCTCTCTGTCTGTTGATTGAAAAAACGAAGTCATTGTCCTCCGGACATTCAGCACTTGGAACACGTCCAACACACCTGACTCGCATTAACGAGGCGTGTCTACGAGATAAAAATGCAGTTAACATCAAGTTTCTTATTGTATTCTAGCTGACAGTTTCCATCATGATTACATGTCTCGTAACAGCTTCAGCCAATTGGGCAAGAACCCCCCTCTCCTACGCAACTTTGGAAGGTAATGCTGAACCTTACAGTTTTGTACAGTTCCGTTCCAGTTTATCTACTCATCATACTTATCAACTAGTGGCCATATTGGTCGCCAATGCTGCAGGAAAAGCTGTCCTCCTTTCTGACGTCGTGGCCGTTGGTAATTCAAAATCATGGTCAATCCTCGCTTTTTCATATGAATCTAACATCAATCATGTTCAATTTTCGTTTGTCCACATGAGTCTAACACTCGCTTCCCGTCTGCTCTGTTAGTCACGCATGCCTTTGAAGAATTCTTTATTGCTAATGTCATGGCCATCGCTTTGAAGTGGATACGAACACGATCACGGAGGCCTTCAGCAACCTCAGCATTGCTCTTGGATGACTTTTATATTGTCGTGCCGTTCATTGTGCTGTCGGTAGTCCTGACTGCTGTAGTCGGACTTGTTCGTACTGAGATTGATGGGGGAACGTTCGATGACTACCTAGATTTTTGGTCTTCCCAAAGCGTTTCGCTCGTCGGTATGGGTTCTGATTCTCGGAACTGCCACGTTATCTAACGTCCTATTACTCCCTCAGTGACACTACCAGCTGTGTTGCTCGCCTGTCAGACCGACTGGAGGAAAAGTGCCTCCTGGAATGTCACAACACTGGCAGTGGCCGTTTCCCTTACTGCTACGGGTAATTGCAAACAGATTTCATGTCATCCTTCCCTCATTGACACCACTTTGGCTCTTAGTCATGGTGATACCCGTCGCGGTGAGCATCGTATTTGTCACACACATGCAGGGGACTGGATCAGCAGCAGTACAAATGTACTGGTCTATATTATTGTCTGTGAGTTGAGCTCGCTGAGCCTGTTTTCGAAGCTCCTTTAACTGATTCTCGTTCTTCGTAAGCTTCCTGCGTTAGCTCTGAGCGGGGCATTGCTTGGAGGTACCGGGCTAGCCATCCACTTGCTCTTATTCTCGATTGTGACGCCGATGGTTCGATTTTTGCCAGGTAACCAATGTTACACCGAGAGCGCCATTTCGCACTCCTTTTCCCAGTATAACACTGACTTTTGACCAGGTGCCTTTGAGTATGACAGTCATTTATTGGCTCTCATGATACTACTCATCGACTTGGGGTAACTGGGATACAACAGCACATATCAAAAGACCCACCTGCGATAACATATATCCAAATTGTTCTTTAGCATGCTGCCATTTCTCCTGATGCTGGCGGATCGATATCGACTCGTTGCATCAGTCGAAAAGGAAATCCAGGAAAGAACGATAGAACTAGTCCAAGCAAACCAAGAAAAGACTGATTTTATGAGTTTCTTATGTCATGAACTAAGAAACCCATTACATGTCGTGCTGTCCATGGCTGATATGGCCATCAACGATAATCCGAATAACGAATACGCAAAAGCATCTGTTACTGCCGCAAAATACATGATGGACTTGTGTAATGATGTTCTTGATGCAACCAAACTTAAGAGTGGCAAGATGGTCATTGAACCACAATGGGGGGATCTTGCAACAATGTTGAAGGATCAATGCCATTCGTTTGCAATTCATGCTGCAACTCTAGGTATCAATTTGCAATATCACTGTGATGTAGATGTTCCAGATAGACTCTACACTGACAATCTACGGTACTTTTCTTTGATGTTTTCACTTGACCTGTCCTTAGGAACTCAGACCCATTTTGCGGTATAGATGGCGGCAGCGTCTTACGAACTTGCTTGCCAATGCATGTCGATTTACCAAATCCGGTGGTAGTGTCGTCGTTTCGGTGTATGTGATCAAGGATGGCACATTACCTGTGGATCAGGTCCGACTGAGGTACGTGATTGAACAGCTTGTACCTTGAATCGCTTGACGTCTTCTGACTTTATCGATTCTTTTCTAGATGTGAGGTGGCAGATACAGGAATCGGAATAGATCCACTGCACATACCGACACTCTTTGCCCCATTCAGCATCGCTAGTCAACAGACAACACGCGAATACCAAGGATCAGGGCTAGGCCTGTCTTTGAGTGCAATGCTGGTTGAACTCATGGGTGGAAAATTAAAAGTAGAAAGTCGATTAGGCCATGGCAGCCGATTCTGGTTTGAACTTGTGGTATCGCGAGATCCACCGGCACGTCATATAATCTACGTCGATGAGGGTATAGAGGATGCTAGTCTCGCCACAGTTAATGATGGTTTGCTCATCGAGTTGAAACATCGTCCATCAGTCGGAACTCTCAATCATTCATCTTCCATGAGTCTTATAGTGAATATTGATACAGTACAAAGATCACCGACACAGTCGGAGCCAATCACTGTCACGACAGACCTTATTATTAGCACTGATGCTGGTACCCATACGATAGGCTTGTCTAGAAATAATAATAGCAGCAGTTTAAATCCGTCAGATGAGGTTATAGGAAATGTGCCAGAAAGGATGCCGTCCGACTCGAATCAACTAGTAACAGCCATACCCGATGGTGATGACGACCGGATTATCTGTGCTCTTGTGGTCGATGACTCGGAGGTTAATCGTGCGTTTCTTAAACGGATGCTAAACCGCTTGAAGCCTGATATGGAGTTACACATGGCCAATGATGGTCAAGAGGCCATTGATCTTGCAAACCAGCACAGATATCAAATAATCTTTAGTGAGTTTGATGGTTTTCAACGAATGGGTGTTTTTGAGACGTGACGGGTTTGTCGTCATCTATAAACTTCGTCTTGTCTTCTTAGTGGATTTGCAAATGCCACGGGTCGACGGCTGGCAGGCTATTGCTCACATCCGTAAAGAAGGAGCCAACACGAATACCCCCATTGTCATCACATCTGCCAATTCTGTGACGCTGGAAAAGGACTCCATCAGTCAGTGTGGAGTCTTATCTAAACCGTTTCTCACCAAGGACGTGAAGGCTGCCCTCGATCAGTTCATCATAGAACAGCCTAAAGATCTCCTTTGAATGTAATTATGTAGCCAAAACTGAAACCCTCCACCAAACCCCCAAAGGACACATACCACGTCGCAATATGTAAATCTCACGCCAACATCTGAACTATTGGGCACAATCAACTCCCATGAACACAATCGACGATCTGCTGAAGCAAATCACGTTCCTGGTGGACTGGTGTTATACTGTATAACTGTATAGCATAGTTTTAATTTTAGTATTTAATCCATGTACTCAACATAGAAATCCTCGGGAAATCCTTCTTGTGTGCGTTTTTTGATCGTAAGATTTATCGTCCTTCATCCAAACCAGGAAACAAGCAAATGAGCAAGCGAGCACCAGACGGGTTTGTCAAGCCTGAAAAGCTAGAAAAGAGCGAGTCACGAGCTTCTCAGCAGGGGGGATTACTGATACGGAAACACACCACAACTGGCGAAGTAGGTTTTTATCATCTCGTAAACGTTGTTTTGGATTTTGGTCAACTTTTACATCAACAAGCACCGTTGACTGACCGTGATCACATCATTGTCTCATTCTAGAAACATGTGTTTCAAGCACCTACAAAGTCATTATTAGGACTGGACGACCTGGCTGAACAAAAGAGAGCTGAGAAGCAACGATTGCAAGATGCTACGGAATCTCAGTCAAAGAGACCTAGACTCGATCAAGGTATTCTCGTGACATATTTCGAATGATCCATTCGTGGAATGTGATACTGATATGGTTGTAACGCAGGCAAGAGACCAGATCGAGCTCCCACACCATCCGTTGGAACAGGTTTGACGACTGAAGCTAAAGAACGTTGGGATCATCGACGTGAACGCGATAGATATAAAGGTACCGCTTGTATGTATGTCTTTTGTAGTCTTGCTACGCATTCACATACAATGTAAAATATAGTGGGTGGACTATTCCAAACCACAAAAGGAGTCGTCAAACACGATGAAGACGGTGAAGAGGGCTTATCAATAGAGCCAGCTCGTCCGAAAGATACACCGCGTGGATCTATGGGGTATGGAGCTACTCCTTTACGAGGTATTGCTAAATGAATGCAGAAACCTCATGTAAACGTTGCAATGACAGTGTCTTTTTTGCACAGCTCCATTTCAAGACGCACCACTACCCGGGACATTCTTTGGTGGTGAAGATGATCGATATGTGGGTGTAGATGAAACGCGAGACGATTGGGTGGACGATCAACTCCAGCAGGATCGAGAGTGGTATAATATCGAAGAGACAGGTGGTGCTGTTGATGAAAGTCACAATCCATTCGCTGATGATGATGGGTATTATCAAAAGAAGGAGGAAGAGTTAGCTAAACAGCAAGTGGTAAGCTGGCCAAACTTCATTAGGGGAATGTTGACTCTGACCTGAAAGGTCTTTTTTCCTTCTTGTAGAAGAAGCTCACTGCTCGACAGGCGCAATGGAATCGAGATACAGATAAATGGGAGACGAATCGAATGTTGACGAGTGGTGTTGTTCAGAGAACAGAGACAGATCCTGACTTTGAGGAAGATCAAGAGGTACACAAAACGACGCTAGAACAGGACCTTTACATTTGATCTTTTGTCATTCGCTCCCACGATTTCTGATTGCCTCTCCCTCTATAGTCTCGTGTACATATTCTGGTTCGAGATTTAAAGCCACCCTTTTTGGATGGCAAAATTGTCTTCACAAAGCAACTAGAACCAGTCAATCCTATACGAGATCCTACGTCTGATATGGCAATCGCATCACGCAAAGGATCGAAACTCGTTCGTGAGAAGAGAGAGCAGAAGGAGAGGATGAAGGTTGGCACATAAAATCATCCAACGTAGTTTAGATGCCAGTTTTTGCTCACACTGCTTTTCTTCAGGCTGCTCCCAAACTGGCAGACATTTCAGGGACTGCTATTGGAAATGTGCTGGGTGTCGCTGTCACTGAACCAGAAGCTGAAGAAGCTGGTGGTGTTGCCAACGTTGGTAAAGGAGATTCTCAATTTGCTTCCCATCTGCAAGACAAGAATGTAGCCGTGAGTCAGTTTGCCATGTCCAGAACCCTTCGTGAGCAGAGAGAATATCTTCCTGTGTTTGCCGTGAGAGAGGAGCTTTTGCGTGTAATTCGAGACAATCAAGGTATGCTAGTTCGTGCAGTTTTTTGGTGTCCCAGACTTTTACCGTTTTGTTTGTCTGCGATAGTGGTCATTGTAGTAGGAGAAACGGGATCAGGCAAAACTACTCAGTTGACTCAGTACTTGCATGAAGAAGGATATACAAAATATGGAATGATTGGATGTACACAACCTCGTCGTGTCGCTGCCATGTCTGTTGCAAAGCGAGTTAGTGAAGAAGCCAATGTAAGTATTGGCCTATCGTTGTCGATTTTTTTTTTACAGTCGCCAATGGCGCAAACGATTTATTTCCTTCTCAATAGTGCAAGCTGGGAGGTACTGTAGGATATGCTATTCGTTTTGAAGACTGTACGTCGGAGGAGACGGTAATAAAATGTAGGTTATTTTCTCTGGATGCTCCGTCTATTTTTGCTTTGTACTCATATCTATTTATCTGGTAGACATGACGGATGGTGTGTTACTGAGAGAATCTTTGAATGCTCGGGATTTGGAGCAGTATAGTTGTATCATCATGGATGAAGCTCATGAAAGGTCATTGCAGACTGATGTGTTGATGGGTTTGCTGAAACGAGGTAATTGCCTTGAATTGTAGCATTTCTTCGGCATTTAATACTCATCATTTGGATCTTTGTTAGTCGTTGCAAGAAGGAGAGATCTCAAGTTGATTGTAACGTCCGCTACTATGAACGCCGAACGAGTAAGGTGCTGATGTCTTCAATACGCCATTCTTGCCTTGACGTCAAGTGAATTCTGTCCCCTAGTTCTCCACCTTTTTCGGAAACGTTCCTCAATTCTTTATACCTGGTCGAACCTTCCCTGTTGATATCATGTTTAGCAAGAATTCGGTGGAAGATTATGTGGAGGCCGCTGTGAAACAAATCATTGGCATTCACTTGTCGCATCCACCTGGTGATGTATTGGTGTTTATGACTGGTCAAGAGGATATTGAAATTACTGCTCAAGTCATTGCAGGTGAGTTTGCGACTCAGCAATACTTTGTGGGAAGAAGCAAAAAAGATCGAGCTGCAATTGACGATATGTTCCTTGAAATAGAACGTCTTGAACAAATAGACAATGACAACATGCCTCCCATGTCTATTTTGCCCATATACTCTCAGCTACCAGCAGATTTACAGGCCAAGATCTTCCAGAAGGCTGAAAACAATGCTCGGAAATGTATCATTGCAACAAATATTGCCGAGACATCTCTCACAGGTTTGAAGTCATGGACCAAGAATATTTTTCCCGCATTGACTCCCTTCTGTCTTTTTTTGCAGTTGATGGTATCATGTATGTGGTCGACTCAGGATACTGTAAACTCAAAGTATTCAATCCCAAAATCGGCATGGACACGCTACAAATAACACCCATCAGTCAAGCCAATGGCAATCAACGATCTGGACGAGCTGGTCGAACGGGTGCTGGAACGTGTTATCGACTATATACTGAACAAGCTTTTCGGACAGAACTATTTCCAAATACTATACCCGAAATCCAACGTACTAATCTAGCAAATGTTGTGCTATTGCTCAAGTCGTTGGGAGTTCAGAATTTGCTTCATTTTGATTTTATGGTAGGTTTTTGTGCTTACGAGATCGACGACTATCTTTCTCTAGCTGACACTATCCTTTCGTCGAATTTGCAATGTAGGATCCGCCGCCTCAAGACAACATCCTCAATTCGATGTATCAGTTATGGGTACTGGGTGCGTTGGATCAACTGGGTAATCTCACACCTCTTGGTCGAAAGATGGTCGAGTTTCCGTTGGATCCTTCACTGTCAAAGATGCTCATCACATCTGACGAACTGGGTTGTACTGCTGAAGTTTTGGTATTATATTACTTTGTGTATCGGGAGTTTTCTTGCGGTCTTATTCAGATCTTGATGTTTTTTTTTTGCAGACGGTCGTATCCATGCTCTCTGTACCTTCGGTATTTTATCGCCCCAAAGAACGTGCTGAAGAGTCAGATGCATGTCGAGAAAAGTTCTTTGTACCTGAATCAGATCATCTGACTTTACTCAATGTGTATTCACAATGGGTTTCAAATGGTCGCAGAGATCGTTGGTGTATTGACATGTTTGTACATGCCAAGGCTATGCGGAAGGCTAGTGAAGTACGAGAACAACTGATGGATATCATGAAGTCTCAGAAGATGGCTTACAAGTCTTGTGGAATGGACTGGGATGTCATTAGGTTGGCAATTGCACTGCTTTTTTTTCTCGCAATGAAGCAACTTTACATTTTCTTAACATTCTTTTGTGAATTATTTCAGGAAATGCATATGTTCTGCATATTTTCATCAAGCTGCTCGACTCAAGAGTATAGGAGAATATGTCAACATGAGAACTGGAATGCCATGTCATTTACATCCAACCAGTGCTCTATTTGGCTTGGGATATACTCCAGATTACATCGTTTATCATGAATTGGTGTATACGAGCAAAGAATACATGCAATGTGTATCCGCTGTTGATCCATAGTGAGTGCTTGGTGTGAAGTGTTTGACTGATTATCCGTGGCAAATGATATTTTTTGCTCCGTATCTCAGATTCTATTTTCAATCATAGTTGGCTAGCTGAATTAGGACCCATGTTCTTCAGTGTTAAAGAAGCTGGATTCAGTCAACGGGAGAAACGACGTCAAGATAAGCAAGAGATGAGAACGATGGAAGATGATATGAAGGAAGCTTTGAAACGAGAGGAGTTAGAAAAGAAAAAACTTTCCATTGAAGAGATTCAGCCAAGGCATGTCATGTGTTGTATTTTTATTGTTGATAGTCGCTTTTTTGCGTATCCATAGAATTAACTAATTTACTGTAGATCTCGGATTGCAACCCCTGGTGGTGCTACTCCTGCTGGAATGACGCCAAGACGACGGATAGAGCCTGGTACTCCCAGACGTGTTGGCATGTAAAACGTACTTTTCAACAACGATTTCTAACTTACTTGCTCACGCTTGATGCGCCGGTTTTTCGGTTTTAAGTTTCGTATTGTGGTATAGTCGGCATGTTTTGGTAGAAGGTGTATTTGTTGGCCCTTCTCCGGTTGGAGGCATTCCGGTTTGGAGGACTCTCAAACTCGCACTTGCAAAGAATCTAACGACGAAGCAAGAAGCAAGACCATTTGAAATAAGAGAGTAATCCAATTGCCGTCTCAAACTCAAGGGTAAGTTTTTATGCTTCATTAGGGGTCTTCAGTCGGACGTAGGAAGATACTCAGGATTTTAGTTTCGGCTACAACATCTTGAACTAAATTTTGCGCCCTTTTGTTCAGAGTCTTAACCATGGCTTGAAACCTCCTTTTGGATTTTCTCGTCATTGCCATTATGTCTCTTGTGGTAAACGGTGCGCAAAACTGCACTTCAACAACGCCAACAACAGGAAAGTTATCAAAATCCTACACCAACTTGATCTCAGGCATAAATCAACACATTACCATCCAAAATGAGGAGCACACTGTCGCAGCATCACTTAAAGTGAGTTTGTCAAAGAATCCGATCGATACAGCCAAGTTCACAACTGACAAGTCCAAGTTACTTGGTTTGATCACGAATGGAAAGGCTTTTCGAGCTGCCAATCAAGCTGCTGCTGTCACCTTTGGGGATACTGAGGTTAATGCAAGTCTCAATCAGGTAATGTGTATAGTTCTTGATATGACGATGAAGTTTGTGATGTTTATGATTGCTGATATTTGAGCTTTAATTTCACACAGGTGGCTGCAATTCAAGGCCTATTGGGACCATTGGCTGGCAATCTCACTGGAACTACCAATGATTCGGTTAATGTAAATACATTGTTGTCTGGCTTTACGAATGAGATCGCTGCCAACAAACAGGCTCTTGCAGCTGTAAGTTGATTTCGGCGAACTAACTGTTGCAAAATTAACTCCAGACTTAACTAGTACTCTGTTCGTGCAGGTCAAGAAAGCTTGCTAGTTCTTGTAACCAATGGCAATGTTTGGAGTACAATCCCTTAGTCAAGAAATCAGAGTGGTGGTGAACGGTACATCCAATACCAATATATTTGACATCAAGATTGGTAAACTCATGTTCGATGTGATGATGACTTTAACTGTCGGACAGGATTTTTTTTTTTTTTCAAGACGACCAAATCCAGGGGAGAGAGCGTCACGCTTGATAAAGTTTACAGCCTCTGACGGAGGTGACAACAATAGCATCCTCGCCTTCGAAGTCCAAACAAAATCCCATCGAGGAAGCATACACGTACTTCCAAAAGTCCAACAGCGTGCAGCATACCTGTCAATGCTCACCACATGTCTTTAAGAGTCAAAGTAATCAAGTGGTCATGAAACTACCACTACAGCCAAATTTTAATAATAAAACGTCTGGTCGCTATGAGCGCCAGTGCTTCTATCGATGAGATTTTCTGTTTGTCTCATTAGTAGCCCAATGTGTTTAATAATAATTCTGGCAGTCTCGAGTATTAGTTATTGGATATGAATGCTTTTCATATATCAATAAGATTATGTTCAGAAACGTTCATTCTGCTTCTCGATTGCAACTCACTGCGAAAAACAACATTGCGTCCTTTGGCGCACGAAAAGAAAACCAGGAGATATGACGTAGCAGAATTCTCATACTATAGGCACGAGAAACCTGCCCCGCTAGATTACCCTAATGTTTGCGAATTCATCGAGCAATGCCTCCTGACTGATGAATTTTGGATAATTATCAGCAGACGTCTTAAGAATTGTGGGCCAAGAAACAGAACAATCAATGACACACAAACCTCACAGCAGTTTCCGATTCACCAAAGTGCACAAGCGATACAGCAGCCACTTCACGGAATTTCGGAAATCGTGCTCAAACCGCGCTTCCTTTACATCTCGTGACCCCTACCTGCCAATCGCTTTAATCCAACGAGCCCCCAATACCCCAGTGTCTTTTAGTCCGCAGCCCAACAGAAATGATGGTTTCCATTTTTGAGCATCAATATTCGATTGATGTGGTCTAGTAGCATACAGATGTGAAGCTGTCATGATGCTTGGTCCGACAACGATCCCTCTCCTCAACTGGGGGAATCTACCTGGTTCTAAGTGGGCGAGACATCGAGACTTGGAAGAGCTGTTAGACGAAGCCCATTTTCAAAGCCTATTGAAACATCCAGAGCTCATCATCAAGTTCAAGACATTTGCTGCAAAGTCGCTCTGTATGGAAATGTCAGTTTCATACAAGATATGACACGAATATACGCCAAGGCATGGCCCTTGAATTTTCCAGAATCACCCAAATATGGATTCCCAACCATCTTGACTGCCGCATTGGCCAACATTTACGTGACTCGCAGACCAATATCGTTTCAGAGAGAGCAAACCATCAACGAAATAGACACGTCGACTTCCTCAATCCGACTTCTCACCGATTCTGTGCTCATCCTGGCGAGTCCGAGGGAGGCTAGTGTGACAACAAGTATTTTGTCGTTCTCGGTGACAGCTGAAAACGACATCACGGTGCCTGACGACAACAAGTGTCTTTCTCGACATTCTACCGCCATGATGAGATCAAACTCTAATGCCAGCTCATTTGGTGCACAGAACAGACAACCATCACTGTCGAATTTACGATACTGGATACCAAAGCATCAAAATTCCGCAGTCATGTCTGGTTCTGACAAACGGCAATCACGGGATTTGTTTACATCTTTGGCTATTCCCTTGGAAGCTTTGGAGGATTGCAGAGGGATTGTTGACATGTATCTGAGGAAAAGGTCTATGAATGAGATCAATGTTCCAGTCAGGTAGGTCGTAGTGCATCTGAAGTATGATTATACATGAACTTCAGATTTATGCTGAAACGGTTACCATTTCTCCTTTAGATTTTCACGACCGGTCATTGAAGCTTTTGATGCCTATCGAGACGGAAATGGGCCGGTTCCGATGCTGCACTTGTTCAAGCCAGTGATACGCGATGTAACAAAGGGCCTTTATGAGAACTTGTAAGTCGCCACTGTGTACTGACCTATAGTGAAAGTGTTTGTATGGCTATATATACTAGCTCTTTCAACTAAAGCAGCACTGAGAACATCAAATCCTGACTAAAAATTTGTCATTTTCTAGATATCCGAAGTTTGTGGCCTCGCTCAAATACGACGACTTGCAAACACTACGGACTGCACCATTAGTACCGCTGGAGCGATATTTTTGAAACCCGCCCTAGCCACAGATTACGAAACTATATAATTCTATGTAATTATACGAATATACAAGCCTTTTCTTTTACATGTATGCTCGCGTTGCGCAAATACTCAATATTGCGTCAGTCTCAATTTTTTCTTGTTTCCCGTCCACAGTATGCAACCTTGAACGAGGAACAGAGACGTACAATCTTACATAAGTGCCTAGAATGTTGAGAATTTTCAAAAAAAATACCGGCAATTTCATGTCTACTCCGCTTAAAATCTCCTTTTGAAGGGCAATATGGGCCAAACACGGATTTTCGTTGAATCAGCTTCGAAATCAAAGCTTGCAAGTGTCACGGAAACGTCGAAGAATCGTCGGGTGTTGTACTTAGTCGAAATGTCTCCTATACTCCTACCAATCGTCTTTATTTGCGACGCCCGCCCCGTAATAGCATCCTCGTCTTAAATTTTCAAAGAGCCCCTAGAAGACGGACTACTTTAAACCTCAACATTTCTGGATGCGGTTTAGATACACGGTATTAAACCTCCTATGATGGTCAAATCAGCTATACACTTTCCTATATTCAGTTGGCATCGCTCTAAACGGACGCGGATTCGAGATATGGACGAATTGCTAGACGAGGCTCATTTCCAGAGTCTATTGAGACATCCAAAGCTCATTATGAAATTCAAGACATTTGCCCATACAAAATTTTGCATGGAGAACGTCAGCTTTATCCAAGATATGAATCGTGTATACGAACGAGCAGTCCCATCAACCCTCCCGGAACAACCAAAGTCAGGATTCTCATCAATTCTCAGCCTGGCGTTGGCCAACGTGTCTCGAAAATCAAAATTGCCTCGTAGAACGCTGCTCAACAGTCCTGTAACCAACAATGAATCCGCGCTGGTCATATCAAAGGACACTAGCTCAACAACAAGTACCTCCTCATTGACATCAAAGCCTGACTCGGCAATCCCGTCTGAGTTCAACAAGTCCTTCTCTCGGACTTCCCTTGCATCGAGTCGATCGAATTCTATCATCAGTTTTACCGGCGGACCACACCCACAACGGTCATTCTCTTTGCTACCACTTTGGGCTCCCAGGCATCGGAACTCATCTACCTCTTATGGAGACAAACAAGAAGTGTTGGTGTCTTTAGCTATTCCACTTGAAGTCTTACAGGATTGCCAGGGAATTGTTGGTATGTATCTCAGGAAACGGTCCATGAATGAGGTCAATGTACCAGTCAGGTCAGTGATTTGAGTTACTATGCTTTCTGGAGTCCTTCGTCGACTAACTCTATTTGTTACGCCGTTGCGTGTCTAGAATTTCAAGACCAGTTGTGGAAGCCTTTGACGCCTATGCTGACGGAAGGGGGCCAATACCTATGTTGTATTTGTTCAAACCAGTAGTGAGAGATGTAGCAAAGGGCCTCTTTGAGAACTTGTAAGTTATAAGAAGATCAACTAGAGCGTCGTCGAACTTCACTAAGTCTCTGACATTTAAATAGGTACCCAAAATTTGTAGCATCGCTAAATTACGATGATTTGCAGGAATTGAGGGCAGCAGTTCCGATACCCATAGAGAGATACTACTAATGCACTTAACACTGTAATAACACAACCTTCAGTCGTGAATAATAATGCTCGAGACTGTAAGCCTGGCCTTCAAGATCATGCATTTACATAGTTCTAGAAGATGCTCAAACGAGGTTTTTCTACTTCAGCAAACTCGCTGCGCAACAAAAATGGAAATTGCGTCCATTAAACCTTTTCACCACAAGCAAATGCACCCACAGCACTTCGAACCAGAGATCCACATAATGCCACCAGCGCGAGAAAGCTCACAATATGCAGATGACTTTGATGATTTCAAGCCTGCCTCATTCAAACCTTCCATGGTTACCAACCTTCCTTCTGGGCCTGTTGGAATTGGACGACGAGATCCAGCAGTATCACCGAACGGAGTACTACACAATACGACATTTTCGGATATCCCAGTATCAACCAGCCCGCGGAAATCAGTTGATCATCCATTCAACCACAAACCATTAGGGAATGATGGATTTGTTCACGAGATGGCCACCAAACCTGGATTTGAAAAGATTCCACATGGAGTCAAGACGAAGCCTGGTATGAAAGCTTGTGAATTTTGAAGCTTCTCGGTCTCGCAAGCCTGTTGATCTAACGCTTTTCGTCTTTGGCAGAGAGGCCAAGTTTCATACATCAGTCCAGCGCATCCTCACGTAAGTCCATTATTTAATTGGAAATTAGAATCAAGTGTTTTTGATGCTGACTTTCTTCGAATCGTAGTCTCAAAAAAGAACAAACCTGCAAGAAGGAAGAAAACAGCACAACCATTGTCGGCAAACTTGGACGAGATTGCTAAGCTATTATCAGAGTTGGATTCAGCTCGAATGGAAATATCCAAACTCAAGGATGAGAATCGGAATCTCAAGATTGTGCGAATCTCGTATTTTGGGCGTCAAGATCTATACTTTTTTTGTGCATCCTTGTTAACCAACCTGATTTTTTACCGAAAACAGGATAATCGACGACAAGGAAAAGCTATAAAGCAATCTGACGCAGAGCAAAACGATATTCCACGAGTGATTCAAACTTTGACCGATGAAGTTCGACGAGCCAAGTTACAAGCTAAACAATACCATGACAAGCTTGCTGAGATTGAAAAGACGTCTCATCATCATGTGGAAGAAGCTATCAAGATGCAGGAGCGTGTGCATAAACTGACGAGACTGTTGAATGAGCGAGGGTTTGAGGACGCTGAACATGTGTCAAGGACCATGAAACAGCTCAAGGCTCGTGTTGAGGTATTGGAGAAGGAGAACGAGGTAACTAGGCTTGCTTATCGTACGATTGCAGGTGTGGGCTTTTTTCTCACTTGCTGACGATTAATACAAACCGTTTAACAGGAGCTAGAACGATACGTAAACCACTTCAAAACAAACAAGTCGCTAGATCAACGCACAGTAGCAGGCCACAAATCAAAGCTGGTTGCCGAACTAGAAGACCTGAAACTCGAGCATGCCAAATTGATTACCAAGATGGCTGAAAAGGATCGCATTCTGGCATCTGCATCAATGTACACGAGACATTCAAACGGCAAGGGGCTTGCTCACCCACCGATAACAAACAAGTCTGTAATGAGTGATGTTGAGTCTACTGGTGACGCTGGAGAATTATCCTTCTTTGGTGGTGTTTCGCCAAACAAGAGCAAGGCTGTACCAACTGCGGCTGACCAAGAGAAGAGTGATGCTACTGAGACTGTACATATGTCTCATTCAACAAGCAAGTCAATAGCACCTGAACCGATTATCAAGACACCAGAACCAATAAAAAAGGATCTCTCGAAACCAGCAAACGCATTGGCCAAACCCAACTTTTCGTTATCAAGCAACGAGACTGGTATAACGCCAAGCAAGAGTGCTGGGTTTGAAAGCAAGCAATCTGCTAGTTCGAAGCCCAGTCCGTACGTTGAGCCCGTGTCGCTACCACCCACTTCAACACAGCACGCTCAACCATCAAGCTTCCTCAAACCTTCTCTGTTTGCATCTCTGGATACAAGCAATACACCGACAGTAGCTCCATCGCCTATTCCAGAGATTTCATCGTCCCCGAGAAACAAGATCGAACCAGTATTCTTCAAGGAGGAATCATACGAACCAACATCTACAGCACCATCTAGCTTCTTTAAACCGACACCAATAGGCATAGCACCATCCAAAACTCTAAACCCAGCACCTATCGCGTTATCAATAAAACCAGCAGCCATACAACCCGTGCAAGCAGTGGCGTCATATAGAGCAGACTATGAAGAAGACGTCGAAGAGTTACAAGAAGATTTCGTGTAGGCCATGTTTTAAAATATAATTGCTGTTCGTTTTGCATACAATACTATGTATCTACATTTGATGCGAGAGAAAAAACAAAGTCATGTGATTGGGCTACTAGGTTTTTATCAATATCGTCCTCTATCCCGGCGATCGTGGTAAGAGTCATCTCTAATTCTATGAGACGCCGAGTCTCGATCTTCACGGTGCCTATCCCTGTCATAATCTTCTCGAGCTGGCGGTCGCCGGGAATCATCACGGATATCACGACGAGGCTCGTCACGCCTAGAATCATCACGTCTAGAATCATCCCTCCTGGGTTCATCTGTTCTACTAGGCTCGTCCCGTCTACCAGAATCATCCCTCCTGGATTTCTTGGATGACGTATCTACTTCACCATCATCATCTGACCCTCGTTTATGCTTCTTGTGTTTCTTTTCCTTTTTCTCCTTCTTTTCCTTCTTTTCTTTTTTACGTTTCTTGCGTTCAGCCTTGTCGTCGAGATCATCATCGGTTTTTGGTTTGGTAGAAGTCAATGGTATGGCGTTTCCTTCATCGTCGTCATTATCGTCCTGATCGGAGTCTGCAGCTGCTGCCTTTGAGCTCGATTTCATGTAAAAGCCAGATCGTCTATAGGTTGTATTGTCAATTTTGGTTTGAATTGCCTAAAAACGAGGAGATTGAGATATCCCACATACCCAAACCCAACACCAGTAGCAGCCTCTTCCTCCTCTTCCCCAGTAGCTTCTTTCGTGAGTTTAGACAATTCCTGTTTAGTTACAGACGATGTCGTCCTCTTTTTAGCTTTACCACCAAGCGCTTCAGCCAGTAACTCTTCTTCCTGCTCTTTTATAGCTCGTATTTCATCTTCATCGACACTTGCTGATGGTTTCTCAGTGTCTTTGCCATACCATGACAAGTCTTTGTTCTAGCAAAATAATAGCGATCAGTAGAGCACAGTACAGTTTTGGTCAAAGCTTTGTACAAACCTTTTGCCATCGACCAACACTAGCCATGAGCGAATGGCCAAGATAGTTTTCTCGATAGTGGTCTTGCTTGACATCGTCCCATTTGAAGTTTCCTATACCAATAGACAAAGTTTCAATGAAATCTACAATCGTAATCAGAGATGCAGCGACAAGCATTCAAAACGGCAATGAGATCGAATTCAGGAGTCGAAAGAGTAGAAATAGACATGTATCAATGAAAAAGTGTAGACAAAGTGCCTTGCCAAACGAAATTGGTTTGATGCAAGTTTGCACCATTGTGGAGAGCACTCACCACTCCCGCCTCTACTCCCTTCTCTAGTCGGTCCTGAGAACATGATTTCGAGGATTGGCAAGATTTCCTATGGCCTGATGCACCGTGGTTTGATCAGAAAACAATCAGTCCAAAAGGTGGCAGCGACGATAGCTGCAGAGATTGTTTGGGAGACCTGGAAGTATGAATCACTTGTTTATGAGTCCGTGAACCGAATCTGTCTTGCTTTTCCTCTGAAGCTCTTGCTGGTTGCTGGAAGACTAGACGCTAATTGCTTTTCGGTTTTATTAAAATGACGAACGCCGAGTCCGTTAAAGAGAAATCCTAATGTTTTATTCTTAAATTCATTTTGAACGTGATTTGGAATTCCTTCAGCAAAGAAATCAAGAACTCGCGTGTGGCTTCCTTGCCAACATTTGCAGTGTGTCGCTGGACGATTCATACTTGCAAGTTTTCTACCTTCCATAGTCATCAAGTTCATTTTCGGCGCACACTGCGTACATTCTTCTTATATTAAAGAAACCAAACCTGGTCTGTATATGTCACGGGCCAACCAGCGGCCTTCCTAGCAAGCGTGGATTTTACGTTTTCAACAGAATGGAATGAAATGTATCTCATTTACGGTGGCCTATATCCAATAAACCCGTAAATCTTGTTCCTCAAAGGCGCAGACGTCCATATTACAAGCAAACCGTCCACGAGTGGCTGAGAATACAAGAGACAAGCACACACCATGTCGACTTCTTGCGGCACTGACTCAATCGTAGCAATCTCGTATATGATTCGAAACACCGTGGGCGCCCATATTAGCATCGTGGTGGCCGTCAGGGCAGACAATTTTATAAAAATAGCAACTTCCGTCCGTTGAAACAATGTTGACGGTCTTCCTATCTTGGTGGCGAGATTTGTGCTAGTACTGCCCTTTTCCATCGCCCCTAAGTCTCCTGAACAGGCGGCGTCTCTGCCAATATTACTGAGATTGCGTTGGGTTTCGCTGATGTGCATTATAATCAGGCCGTATAAGATGAAGAGGCCGATTATAACAACGGAGATGGTGATAACTTCCATAGATGTCATGAACATTTGAATTGGATCTCGTGTGGCCCATTCGTTTATACAAAACACGGAGACACCTGGTTTGGGATGTGTTGCGAGTTAGTTGATTGATGAAAATCGTGGTGGAATTGACTAGACAACCTTCTGGCGTCATGTCTCCTGTCATGACTATAAAAGGATTGTGTCAGTTTACACGTATTTGATCCACAAAGGTACATTCTTTCGTACGGAATGGTAGAGGACCAAGGATACTGAACACCCACACGCATCCACACAGTATGATGGCCTTCTTGGTACTCGTAACCGAGCTCTAGAGAACACAATACCGTCAGCAACACTGTTAAAACTCCGCTGTCACATTGTTCGCAGGTACCTTGCAGATAGCAACATAGCGGTCATATGCGAGGAGTAACAAAGTTACCATTACAACAGCTATTCAAAGGATTTCCGTCACGATTTTCATTTTCATCTTTGCGTTCAGAAAGCAACAGCGACAATAAAACCTTACTCCAACAGGAAACGAGCACCCATCCTTGCAAGTTGCAAAACATTTGCGACGGAAGGAGGTGTCCTAGAGCCAGAGCGTTTCCAATAGACCCCAACGAGAACCAAATGAACACAGACTGGCCCAGCGGCAGGTTCACAATCAAAATGGTTGGGCCAGTCTGTAATCTAGCAGAGCCGAATATAGGGATGAGTAACATGAGGATATTTCAAGACAGCGACAAATTTTGGCAGTACTTCTTGTCTGAGAAAAAGGCTACAAGCAGCGCTGCGTTGATAATAGCAGCTGGCACCAGCAACGCTATAATTGTGATTGCACTAGCATAGTCATCGATTTCCCAATCTGGTACGTCCATGCTAGCCAGAGATTCAGTGTCGATTTGTTTAAATAAGTAGGCTGAGTTCTGCTTAACTCGATTCGTCCATCCTTCGCCCTTTAAACGACCCTCAAGATTAAAAAAAATCCGATATGAGTCGTGATTCAACCAGTCAAAACACCAAATCCATGAAATTCCGATTAGGGAATGTATGTCCCTGTCGTTCAGTCTTGCATAGGTGTCATTCGTGGTCATGTTCCGGAGATTGAGCTCATTCGAGAGGGATACCACACAGAAAGAAACCTGGAGGCGACCATTTTTACGAGTATTTTCTGTCTCTTCCCATTTAGAGACTTTTGTTATAGATCCTTCGCTGGAGGGCTGGAATTTGGATACCAGCCTTTCTCTCAGTTTTTGACGCAAAGGTTGCTGAGGAAGGAAGTGCGTTTGTATAGTGCCAAAAGGGAAGGCAGAGTGGCAAGGAATCGCGTCAAATCACGTCGTTTGTCTGAACATTTGCAACATCTCCGCTTGATTTTCGGATTTCCTTCCCCGAATCATCAAGGCTGAACTGTTCCTTGAGCAGTCGTAAATGACATCTCACAACACAATTCCATATCCTAGAGTCGATTTCATATTTTAGCAGCAGGACTGCATGCTGCGTTCCTTCCCTTATTTTCAACTAAATCTGGGTATATACATTTATGTGTCTTCTCGAGAACAAACTGGCGAATTGGCCCCAAATCCTTCTTGTTAACGTGACCTATATCCAATAAACCCGAAAATCTTGTTTCTCAAAGGTGCTGACGTCCATAGTACTAGCAAACCGTCCACGAGTGGCTGAGAATACAAGAGACAAACACACACCATATCGACTTCTTGCGGGACCGACTCAACCGTAGCAATCTCGTATATGATTCGAAATACCGTGGGTGCCCATATGAGCATCGTGGTGGCCGTCAAAGCAGATAGCTTCACAAAGATGGCAATTTCAGATCGTTGGTATGTTGTAGATGACTGCCTTCCATTCTTACTGGCATGATTTGTACTATGACTATTCTTTTCCATCGCACCAATGTCTTGTTCAGTCAAACGGGCGGCGGTTTGGGTAATGTGTCTTATAATCAGTCCGTATAACATGGCGAGACCGATTATGACAATAGAGACTGTGATGATTTCCATCGAGGCCATGAACGTTTCAAGTGGATCTCGTGTCGCCCATTCGTTTATACAAAACACAGAGACTCCTGTTTTGGGGATTTTGTCGTTAGTTAGTGAAAGATGAAAGTGTGGTGAGAATTGATGAGACTACCTTCGGACATCATGTCTCCATGCATGACTTATGAAGAATTGTGTCAGATTCCGCGTGGGAGATGAATAAAAGTGCACTTTTTCGTACTGAATGGTAGAGGCCAAAGGACACTGAATACCCATACGCATCCACACATTATGATGGCTCTCCTGGTACTGGTAACCAAATTCTAGAAAACACAAAATCGTCAGCCACACTGTTTTGAAATCTTGTAGTCACGTCGATTAGCCCACTACCTTGCAGATCGCAACGTAGCGATCATATGCGAGGAGTAGCAAAGTAACCAATACAACAGCTATCAAAGAATGGAGTACCAGTCAATTTTCATTCGCGTGTTTTGCGTTCAGAAAAACAGCAGCAGCAACGACAGCATTTTACTCCAACAGGAAACTAGCACCCATCCTTCCAAATTGCAAAACATTTGTGAGGGAAGTAGGTGTCCTACAGCTAGAGCATTGCTAACAGACCCCAACGAGAACCAGATAAAAACAAATTGGCCTAACGGCAGATTCATAATTAAAATAGTTGGTCCGTTTTGTAATCTAGCATAAACCGGAATGAAGAGTGAGTAGAATTAGGAAGAAGCAAAACGGTCACGACATCCGATCGTACTTCTTGTCTGAGAAAAATGCTATGAGCAGCGATGCATTGATGATAGCGGCTGGCACGAGTAAAATAATAATTGTGATTGCACTGGCATAATCATAAATTTTCCAATTTGGTACGTCCATGGCTAGCCAAATGATCCAATGTCCAGCTTTAAAACAAGCAAGTTGAGTGAAAACTCAATTCTCCCCTCGAATCCTTCCAATTAAGAACAACCCTCAAGTTTAAATTTGTGGAGAACTACAAACAGCCCGATGCTTTGCCTTGTGATTCGGCCGGTTAACACACGTCCAAGAATGAGGGGGAAAAAGCACTCTCATCCTTGAAAATGATGAACTAGTGTTGTCATACGTGGAATTCCTCGTCATGTTATAGCACCAAGTTTTGAAGATTGAACAGACTGTTCGACGTTATTGAAAGCCAGCTGCTTGAGGGATAGATTTTTTTCGAAAGACAAGAGTAAGCCACACCACCATCATTATCTATCTCGTAGATATTTCAATGGTGATGTGTGAACCTCGCAACAGAGCAAACTGACCACACTCGGGATTAAATCGAATTGTTGGGGGTACCAACAAATATCCGATATGTTTCATCACGATTCGGGCGGTCAAGACAGATTTATGAATCCGATTAGGGAAGGTACTGTCGTCCACGATAGTCTTGCATACATGGGATTGATGCTTATGTGCGAAAGATTGATTGAGCACTCTGCTTGGCTGGATTGAAACCACATACATACTTTGACTCATAAATTTTAAAAGATAAAAGCGAGTCACATCATCATGATCTGTCTCGTAGATCCCAAGAGTGATGCGTCGTCGAAAAACTGAAGAAAGGACAAGATGTCGACCAGTAGGGCAGCGATAGAGGTTGTTAGGGAGACCTGGAAGTAAGCATTTGATGAGAATTTCTGACGACCTCCGCATCCTGACTAGCCTTTTGTCATAGATCCTTGCTGAATGCTGGAGGGTTGGATACAAGGCTTCTTTCAGGCTTTAAAGTCCTTGACGCAAAGGCCGATGAAGGAAGTACGTTCGCATTCCATTGACTTTGGATTTGAGCACTTTATGAACGCCGTTGTGGAAAGGAATTACCTCATATCACGTTGTTTGTCTGAACATTTACTTCCATCAACGCCATCACCCTTATTGATTTTGGTTTTTTCCCTCCAGTCATCAAGGCTGAAATGCTCGTGGAGCAGATACATCTGAATCGTGCTCATGGCTTGCATGGCGGGTGTATATGTACTTTAGGTAATTTATACTCATTAGCCTGCTTGGAAGTCGTTAGAGCATGGTAGAGCTCACACAACACGATGCCATATCTTACAGTCGACATTGCTGGCTCCCTAGCAGTATCAGCTCGCCGCCAATCAAGTGGATTTACAGGAGTCTCGACCGACATACATGTCAGCTTCTTGAATGGAGGAAAGCTTGGTGATAGGCTGCTAATAGAGTCGATATGCTCCAAGGCTGGCAAGACACTAGCCTTTACTTCGACTAAAATCTCTGTTGGGGATAAGCTACTAGCTACGGGATCACACACCAAGTACATCGGTGCAGCAATCAAACCTGTGAGTAAACCTCTAGAGTGACTATGTAATTTGCAAAAAAATAGAGATTACTATACAAATCGTGGGGTGTGTGCAAGTCTATTCCATGTCGTAATCAGAGTCTTCTTCCATGTTGATGTCTTCCTCGTCATCATCATCGTCGTCTTCATCCTCGTCTCCCTCATCGTCACTATTCTTTGATTTGGCACCAAACTTTTCACGTTGTCGTTCACGTTGCTAAGAGCAGAAATACGTTAGCAATGGAATATGCCACAGTTTTTTTTTGTTGCCATTCATACCAGCGTGACGAGAGCCTTCTTTTGATCCTTTTTCTTGGCAACATTGGATTCTTGTTGTCGTTTACGATCAGCCTTGGAAGCAGCTTGTTGCGCTTTACGTTTAGCAATGGCTTTAGCTTCTTCTGGTGTCTTTTTGACTTCTGAATGATACAGGACCTGTGAAAAAAATGAAAGCCCATTAAGATTGTCTGTATTCGAAAGACTGACTTCGACCTTAACAATTTACCTCTCCAGCACACAAATCAGCTTGAATCTTGACCAGAGACAGATTTAACCTCGGTCCAATCTCCACTAATCGAATAGCTCGTTGTTCAGACTTGCGGTTGTTACGACCAACATAGTTTTGTGGTAGAGACATTGTCGAGTCTGGTGCATCTTCTGCTTCACTGTCTGATCCTGCTCCTCCCCTAGTAAGTCCATTTGGAAATAGTCAATACCAGTCGGCAAAAACAGCCAACGTGTGCCAAGTGAATTTACCTCAAGATATAATCAGAAATATCATCATAGTTCTTGAGATCCGGTATATTAGCTTGTAAGAGTGTCTTGATGGTCTTACTGACACCAGTAACTCGAACAGTCACAATGAAATGTCGTAAATCGATACTTCCAGTTTCTGGATCTCGGTTGAATAGGACGACTCGCCGAGCATCCGCTAGTTTCATCTGTTTTGACACAAGATATTGGTGAAAGCGTAAAAGGAAGGAAAATGACGTAGCATACCGTTTGGACATTGATTGGTGGAAACATGTGTTGGAACATGGTAGATACTAGCTTGACATGCCTTTCATCACTTCCAAAGTTGTTTAACACGACCTGTGAGCAATAACACGTGGTTAGTTCCGGCTTTTTTGTTGTGGTCTCGACACCATACACCTACCAGTGGAGGAGTAGAGAACTCTGTTCCGGGACTCTTTGGTTTCGAATGTGTAGCAGCGATATCTCTCATCAGCGAGTATTCATTGACATGGAAGGATAAGGTAGGACCACGAGGGAAGCGAGCCAATCTCATATTCAAGTGGGATTCAGTTCGAGAAAAGATCATGATGTGAGAAACACCCAATGGCCCAGCCATGTTTGCAAAGTCTTTGAGTTTGTTTCCTCTTCGTTCCTGATCATTGGATATGTCAGGTCATGAGCAACAAAAGCAGCAGTTTGGTAAAAAGATCATACTCTTAGTTTGATGGCAGTGTTTGGTTCCATGATTCTCCTCACATCTTTGACTAGATGGCACACACTTCTGCCTACAGCACCTGATCGGATGACGAATGATTTTGGTAGCTTTGGTTGTAGGTCTCCCGGCACGGTTTGTTTTTGGGTCCTCTTCTTTTTCTACGAGTTGATGTAACGATCGGTCAGTTCAAAGCTCGTTAGAACACAAGTGTAGGGAAAAAAGTCGCGATAGAATCATAATAGTGCGACATACTCTTTGCTGGGGCATCGCTTCCTTTTCCTAGTTGAAGGCCAAGTTTGTAAAAGTATCTGTCATAACAAAAAAAAAAGTTGTCAGCCTGTATTACATTTTGGAGCTCTACAAACAAGACAGTTTGAGACAAGATGCTCTCAGTTTCAAGGAGTTCGCTGCGCCAAGCGTCGCGTCTATCTACAAAGCTCACCTCGTAAGTTAAATCAATTAGATGTTGTTCGTGTTCTCTGAAAGACAGCTGATTTTGAAAACGACAATTAGAACTCGGCGTGGAAATGCATCCGCATCTGATGCTCCAGTCCCTGCCAAGTACAGCTCAAGGATCACTCAACCGAAGCAGCAAGGAGCTTCACAAGCAATGTGTACGAGCCCCTACATCTCACAACATTACCAGTGATTCACTGTCAATCTCACATCCCTTAAACATGATATAGTATACGCTACTGGACTGACACCAAATCAAATGAATATGCCTCAAATTGGAATCGGTTCAGTGTAAATCAACTTCGTGCTCTGGCCTCTACGCACTTTGGAACTCCGAAAAAGAGCTACATCTTTCAAACATCACTCTCGTTTTTTAGGTGGTATGAAGGAAATCCATGTAATATGCACTTGAACGATCTAGCTGCTGCTGTCAAGAAGAGTGTGGTCGATGCTGGTTTGGTTGGATTTCGATTCTCGTCCATTGGAGTTTCTGACGGTATCAGTATGGGAACTGAAGGCATGAGTTATTCTCTCCAATCCCGTGAAATCATTGCTGATTCCTTTGAAACGGTATGCCTTGAACAAGATATTGCGATGTCGAACTGGTTTTTTTGTTGCTGACTTGAACTCAACACCAACTACTTTCCGCCTCGCAGATCATGGGAGCTCAATGGTATGATGCCTGTATCGCAATCCCTGGTTGTGACAAGAACATGCCTGGTGTCATAATGGCCATGGCTCGCCTAAACCGGCCATCCATCATGGTTTATGGAGGTACCATTCGCGCTGGTAAAACATGTACAGGGACTCCTATCGATATTGAGAACGCCTTCCAAAGCTATGGTCAATTCGTAACTGGTAAAATCACTGAAGACCAACGACTCGATATTGTTAAAAATGCCTGTCCTGGTGCTGGAGGATGTGGTGGTTTGTACACTGCAAACACGAGTACGTTGGAATATTATTTACCATGGTTTTTTAGTCCGTGTTTGACATTCTCATCATATAGTGGCTAGCGCTATTGAAGCCATGGGTTTAACGCTACCACACAGTTCGTCTATGCCTGCTGAATATCCAGGCAAAATAGAGGAATGTGCTCACGTAGGTCCTGCAATCAGGAATCTACTAGAAAAAGATATCAAGCCTAGAGATATTATGACTCGTCAAGCATTTGAGAACGCTATGGTAACTATTATGGCATTGGGAGGTAAGTTCTTTCTGCTCACCTGTCACTCAGATTCTGTTGTGTGCCAATGCTTTTTTTGCTAATAACGATAGGATCAACCAACGCTGTACTACACTTTATTGCTATTGCCAAGTCTTTGGGCATTCCATTGACCATTGACGACTTTCAAAAAACCAGTGATCGTATTCCCTTCCTTGCTGATTTGAAGCCAAGGTGAACTAAAAAGCCTTAGCGTCGAGCACTGGACAACGTTTTTACATCTGCTTTATTCATCATATAGTGGTAAATACGTCATGGAAGACCTACATAACGTCGGAGGTACACCAGCAGTGCTAAAATACCTCCTAAAAGAAGGCCTACTGTATGGTGACGCCATGACAGTAACCGGCAAGACACTAGCAGAGAACTTGGCTGACGCCCCAGACCTGACACCAGGCCAAAAAGTCATTCGACCATTATCAAACCCAATAAAAGCAACAGGCCACATTCAAATTCTGAGAGGTAACTTGTCACCTACTGGTGCAGTTGCCAAGATTACAGGCAAAGAAGGATTATCGTTTTCTGGACCTGCCAAAGTGTATGATTCAGAAGAGGATATGATGGCTGCTACTGTTGCTGGTAAAGTTGTTAAGGGAGACGTTGTGGTTATTCGTTATGAGGGACCTAAAGGTGGACCAGGCATGCCTGAAATGTGTGAGTACAAAACGCTGAGAATTGTGACACTGTTGAATCTGTTTTTGGTTGACAACCGGCTCTTGTAGTGGGCCCAACAAGTGTTATAATGGGTGCTGGATTGGGTCAAGATGTCGCATTAATGACTGACGGACGATTCTCTGGAGCTTCTCACGTAAACGTCCCTTTATTACTTGATGTCCCATCATATATTGATATTCAACTCATCATGTTTACATAGGGATTCATTGTTGGACACGTTACTCCCGAAGCTCAGGAAGGTGGACCTATCGCTCTAGTCCAGGAAGGCGATATCATCACCATCGATGCAAACAGACGAGCCATTGAAGTGTCGATATCACCTGCTGAAATGGAAAAGAGGAGGAAGGCTTGGAAGGCACCTCCATACAAGGTCAAATCTGGAACTTTGTGGAAGTTTATCAAAAATGTAAGATATAAGAGCGTGTCTGGCTCAAGTTATGGTTTATTGACGCGTAAATGTTTGATTTGTTTAGGTTACCAGCGCGTCAGAAGGATGTACGACTGATGATTAAGGTGTATTATTTTGGAACAAAACAAAGTTTCGATTTAGGCGATGGAAGAGCTTTAGCCACGTTTCTGTAAATATTGCGAGACCTGCGATAGCTTTTAATCGCGCTCAGAAACCTTCCTCGATCCAGGTTCAGTGACTGTACAGTCGTGTGGAAACAATAAAGCAAACACTTTTTCTCAAAACTTTCATCAACACATCCATTCAAAGATCAAAGAATCAAGGTAAGAAGAGAGAGAATTCTGACGTTTTCAGCATATGCACACTTATATAATCGATCGATCGGAGATGTGTTCGTATTGAAGTAACGAGAAAGGACAAATTGTCTGCACTTGGGTTGTTCCTTGTTGGAAGGACTGGAGGACAAAATCGAAAAAAAGGACAGAGACCGAGTCAGAATATCATTACCATATCTGAAAAGTCAATTCAAGCTACTGCCACTATTGACACTGTCTTTAAAATCATCAACATTTTGGATTACAAGTTCAAATTTAGTTGTGGCTGCACACATTGGTGAAAAACTCATTTATGCAACATAGCACTAACAATAATATCAACAATCATATTAGAAAGGATATAAAAAATGGGTAAAGAAAAGGGACACGTTAACGTCGTCGTCATTGGACACGTCGATTCTGGAAAGTCTACTACCACCGGGTATGTGTGTTTCGCTATTTGAATGAACAACCATAAGCTTACTATGTTCCTTTCTTTTTATAGTCACTTGATCTACAAGTGCGGTGGAATTGACAAGCGTACCATTGAAAAATTCGAGAAGGAAGCCGCCGATATGGGCAAAGGTTCTTTCAAGTGAGTAACTGATGAAAAAAATTAATTTCACACTGAGATCGGAAGGAAGAGAGCATATAGAATGGAATATGGGATGATAATACGATCAAGTATCATTCAGATCTTCTTCCTTTGGTGCTTCCGTATACCGATAGTGCCTCTTTTCACTTTTTTTTTTCAAGCGCAGCCACCGAACTAACGACTTTCTATCACATTATAGATACGCATGGGTCTTGGACAAACTAAAGGCTGAACGTGAACGTGGTATTACCATCGATATTGCTCTATGGAAGTTCGAAACACCAAAGTACTACGTTACTGTCATTGATGCTCCCGGACATCGTGATTTTATCAAGAACATGATTACTGGTACTTCTCAAGTAAGCATACCATCATGACAATCATTCGAATATTGAGATTGATTTGATTGCATTGATATTCACAATTCAATCTTCGTTTATCATAGGCTGATTGTGCCATTCTAATTATTGCTGGTGGTACTGGTGAATTCGAAGCTGGTATCTCCAAGGATGGACAAACCCGTGAACACGCTCTCTTGGCCTTCACTCTTGGTGTCAAGCAATTGATTGTTGCTGTCAACAAGATGGACACCACCAAGTGGTCTGAAGATCGATTCAATGAAATTATCAAAGAAGTTTCCAACTTTATTAAGAAGGTCGGATACAACCCCAAGACTGTTGCTTTCGTGCCCATCTCTGGATGGCACGGAGATAACATGTTGGAGCCCTCTGAGAACATGCCATGGTTCAAGGGTTGGGAAAAGGAAACCAAGGCTGGTGTCGTTACTGGAAAGACTCTCTTACAAGCTATTGATGCCATTGAACCACCATCGAGACCTACCGACAAGCCTCTTCGTCTACCTCTTCAAGATGTGTACAAGATTGGTGGTATGTGTCGTGAATCTGTGTTTCAGTGTGAAAACAACTGAATGCACAATACCGTAATTCTAATAAGCACTTCCATCCGTCTAGGTATCGGAACGGTTCCAGTCGGTCGTGTTGAAACAGGTGTCATCAAGCCTGGTATGGTAGTAACCTTTGCTCCAGTCAACCTCTCCACTGAAGTCAAGTCCGTCGAAATGCACCACGAATCTTTGGCCGAAGGTCTCCCAGGAGACAACGTCGGATTCAACGTAAAGAACGTATCAGTCAAGGAAATTCGTCGTGGATTCGTCGCTTCTGACTCCAAGAACGACCCCGCCAAAGAATCTGGATCTTTCTTGGCTCAAGTCATTGTCATCAACCACCCTGGTCAAATCGGAGGTTTGTACGACTTCGTTGGGGTCTTGTCGTGGCAAACGTGTATTTAATTTGGATTTCTTCTTTATGATAGCTGGATACTCACCAGTTTTGGATTGCCACACTGCTCACATTGCTTGCAAGTTCGCTGAGCTTGTAGAAAAGATTGATCGTCGATCAGGAAAGAAGCTCGAAGACGCACCCAAGTTCATCAAGTCTGGAGATGCCGGTATGTATTGGTTGTTTCCTTCTGCCGTTGAATTGAACATTGCCGTAAATCGTCATCCCCGTTAGCTATCGTCAAGATGATCCCATCCAAGCCTCTTTGTGTTGAGTCCTTCTCTGAATACCCACCATTGGGTCGTTTTGCTGTCCGTGATATGAGACAAACTGGTAAGTTGTAGCTATCTGACTTTGTGCTAGCATAATATGATACTCATTCGTCCTTTCCACTTTTCTCAGTCGCTGTCGGTGTCATCAAGAGTGTAGAAAAGGTTGACAAGTCTGCAGGCAAGACCACCAAGGCTGCTGCCGGAAAGGGTAAACAGTTGTCTTGTTATTCAAATGTTGGATTCTTGTTTACTGACTCAAATCTTTTTATAGCTGGAAAGAAGTAAAGCTGGTGTAAAGAATAAAAAAGTCTCCAGGTTCTTTATCCCTCGCATACTGCTCTTTTTGTTATAAACGTAAACATTTTGTTATAAGAAAAAATAGAAATACTTCCAGCCAAAACATCCTTGTCCTTTATTTGCATTGGTTTGTTCAGGACACGAAATACATACTCCCATTCGATTAGGTTACAAAAAAATCGTACCGGCGACGTAAATGCCCAAAAACCTCGTGATGTCCCGATGACGTTCAGTACAGCCATCGCATGGTCGACTAGTGTGATATAGCAGGGGCATTTCCCTACGCATCCGCCCGCACGTGATAATATTGATGAGGGATCCGCAAACGGAGATTAACGCGGAAAGACTTTCCAACCGCCCACGAGGTTTTAAGATCGAAAGACATTTTGGTCACTCAATTTTGGTGTCCTGAGTTATAAAGTTTCCAAGAGCTCTCCTCGAGATCACAGGGCAAGCCCCCGAGGTTTGTTGCTGGATTTATTCGTGATGAGTGATAACCACCACAACGAAAGGCTTTCAGTATTTTCTCATACCAATCGCCATGATCCATCTGGTCCTGAATCGCGAAGAATAAGTCGAGAATCATCTGGGCTGGAATCATTTCAAGGAATCCGAAGAGCAAGTATCAGCTTCAAAAACCATCTGGCCGCCGCTGTTTTCGCCAATGGTGGTATGGATGATGATGCTGCTAAAGATACGTCAGAAGAGGGTGATGATGATGGCGTGAGGTGGGCAAATTTGGAGGCTAAACCTACAGCAAGACACGAACATGCAACTTTCAAGGGAAACGATTCTGTCGACGATCAAGAAGCTGGACCGGCTCCAATACACGCAAATACTAGTGCTTCTCGAGGATCCTCTAGATCTTCGTTTAATACGAGAAATGCAAACGCTAGAGAGGTAAGTTCGCAAACCACAACGAAACAATCCTTATGTACTCGAAACGTGTCTCAATTCAATGTCTTTTCAGCTGTCTGAAACGTTGGTACTGAAATTGTATCACATGAAGTCTCTCATTTTGGCCATCATTACCAATGGAGCGATACTGTGGGCAGTTCTGTGTATGGGCTCGTCTGGTTTGACAATCCCATTGGGCGCCCTTGTTCAGACGATTGGCCCAGTACTGGTTGAAACAGCGCTATTATTGACAAACATTTTGACTGTCGAAGCTATGCATTCAGGTATGTCTTGCCCGCAAGACATTTTTTAAAAGTCTAACCACACACATATATAGCTGCCGCCGCCTACTATGGCTATCTCTTCGTCAGCAAGGCTGGGTATTCGTTAGCTGTGTGTGGGTTTAGTCAAGCAGGACCATTCTCAAAGTGGAGCTTTTGTAACAATCTGAGCTTAAGCTCAAAGTGCCGCAAATTCTTGTCTCGATTGTCTGTGCTATTTGCTCTCGGGGAAGCACTAAAGTTGTTGACAGTAATAACAGCTACCTCATTGTGAGTTTTATGCTTTTATGCACGTTAATTGGAGATTGCAGCAGTGCCTTTGGCTGACTTTGGTTTCTATAGTGCGTTCGATTCTGTTCGTGCATACGATGGCATGGTAGACTGTATTACGTTCGAAATGATCCCGGGCAATCAGGCTGATCGGTGAGATACTGGACTCATGACTCTTCTATCGGCTCTCCAACATTTTCACACAAAACATGTGGTTGTTTAGGTCCTTCCCGACTCTCGACTACATGCAGGGGGTAACAGACAACGTTTTTGGAGCTGCTATTGGTGTCCTTCGAAGTGAAGTACCTGGCATTAATGTCACGCAGGCAATCATGTCTCCACAAGTGTGTATCAACGGACATGTGCGATGCGCTCGATGACTAACCTGAACGTTTTTCCTCTTTTAAGATGCTTGGCAACGTCATCAACGGGGAGACTATGATTGGTTAGTTAAACAATCATCAGCGCAAATTTAATCTGAAACATTTTGTTCTGACCGAGTTTTCCACCAGGTGATGGATTCGTCACCAACATCTCTACTTCTTGTGACTGTTGGTCTGCTACAACGGCTGGGTTTGCCTTATCCGGAATGACTGCCGGAAATATTGCAACAATGCTTTCGCATTACCAGAGTCTCGATTCTCAAGCCGTTCTTGGAATGGTTTCACTTGTTGAAAGCAGTCCTTCTAGTGTTACGGTCACCTCAGTACTCTCTGCTGGATGGAAAGTCTGCGGTGGAGTAAATGATACACAATACGCCGAAATATGCGTTTCCACATTGAATGATCATAACCAGGCAACTGTTGTCAATGAATTCATGACTGGTATTACTAAAATATGCTGTTTTCATCGAAAGGGATGACAACTCCAGCATTAATTTTGTTTTAATCAGATGGAACTTCAGCGTCAATAACATTGAGAGCAGTCTCTGTCCTCGAAGTCGGCCCTCCCGCAGATCTTACATGGGTCGAAACGGCTCTAAAGACAATATTAGGAGGCACTATCTCTGACATGAACCTAAGACCAACTGTAGCTTCGCAAATTAACTCCATGCTTGGTAAAACGAAACAATCATTTCCTACTTGAAATTTCTTTCTAACGCGTCGTGCTTTTCGCAATATTAGGTTGGGCTTCTTCAGATGGAATGGGTGTGTTGTAATTGAGATCTTTCCGTCTGACTCTGCCTGAATTGATTCTCATCGGTTTGTTTGTATAGGTATCAATTCCAATTTACTGGAGTCCGGAATGGAGGTTAGTGCAAGTGATTTTGGCCCTCAGAAGAGTTAAAGTCTAACGCGTTTACCCAAAAACAGACATTAATCGCTGTACTCCTTCGAGGAGGGATGATGCGCACTTATGGTCAACACGGTAACTCTTGGTAAGACAAAAAAAGCAAGATTGCTATTGACCTGTTTGCTAACCTACACTTAAAGTCCCTTAAACAAGGCCCTGGACTCGCAAAGCAAGATTTTCTTGCAACCGTATGGAGCCAGTGTTGCGCAAGTGCAGATTGTCATACAATTGATCTTGCTCCTTATGTGCATTATCGCTTTCTTGCCCTGGTTACTTTCGGACGTAAGTCGCTATACTTGACTGTATTTTTGACCATAGGTTAACAAAGTAAACTTGTGTACATTAGGTTCCTATTGGACCTGGTTTCAGGTTTGTGCGAGAATCAGAATATTTTACTACTCTACTGGCAAACTCGCCGCACTTGACTGCCGATATGGTCAATTTTGGTGAGTTATTCAACTTTATCGAACAGGAATCTCTAAATATACAGAAAGGCAGAGTGTAGAGCTGACATTTTACGTGTACAGGGAATTCGCCAACGTACTCTCTATGGCAGAGTCTCGACATTATTGCAAGGATCGGTGAAGGACTATCTACGATAGATGAGGATATAGGGACGGTTGTGCTAGACGTTCCAAAACATGTTCGAGCCTTTAAGAATGGAAGGAGGTTTAATTGAGTAAATGTAAATAATTGGTAAAAGTAGTTCATAGGTGTACAACTTGATTTGTTTCGATATGCTTATGTGCTTGTGCTTTTGGCGATTCCGAAAGTTGTCCCTCATATTGAATACGAGAGACACGAATTTTCATTATGAAATCAAATCTGGAGCTCTTTTATGGGAGAGGATGGTGTTCTTGGGCGTTTTCTGGTGATTTGCGGCAGTCAACTCTGCAAGAGCAAGACCAACACCAACGCACCGAGGCAGCACCCAGGAGCACAGTGATTTTGCTCTCAAGCTTATGAGCTTTGAAAAATTGAATATCCCTGTCCTTGGAAGTTACGCTCCTGGTGATGTACCTTGCCATCAGATTTTGGCAATTCTTTGAAGAGCGCACTCTGAGCTTTGGAGTCTGAGCTTTGGAGAGCCCGTAGTCTTGCTGAAGACAACTGGATTGAGACTAATTTCTGGTATTTAGTTTGCCATTCGATACAAGAACATCGCCTTGGAATCACCCTCATTCGTCTGCAAGCAAAAAAAGGCCCGAGTCCAAATCAGAGGCAAACACTTCAGTCATTTTGTGGTTGAAGCATGCCGTAACGTTTTCGAATTTAATATCATTTATACAGACAACCGTGACGTCAGCAAGTAACCTCATATATAAATTGTTGGATCATCCATCGCTGTTGTTTGCTGGTGACCCACAGTATTACGAGCAACCATGCCATTCCTAACGGTGCTGGAGAACTTTTCTGTTGCGGTCCTATTGACTGGTTCTATGACATTGGCAGTCATATTGACGGTCAGCTGGCAGTAAGACCACACTCAAGTTGCTTTTGCCTAGTATTAGATCTGACGTCAAATCTAGCTCATTTTTCCCTCTGGATTATCCTCGAGTACTGAGATTGTCTCAGCTCTTGCTAGCCATGAGCTTTGCGATAGGAGAAATCTTTCTGGTTCTGAATAGTTCTTTGAATGGTGCGTGTATTGCAGTGTTTTGGAAGGTTGTTGGGATCGTCTCGTTAGACGCGATTTGATCTCATTTCCTTTATTTTCGGAAACGCAGACTATGCTTGTGCAGGGATATATATCTTTTGTGGTCAGTTTGTCTCGTAAGGAGGGTTTTAGCTCTGTTTGTACCAATTCATCAACGATTTTCTTTTATTAGTGATTGCGTATGCAGGATCGAAAGTTGTCATGTACCTTTTCTTGGTCGAGAAGCTTCATGTGGTGACAAGCACAAAAGGGAGATTCCAAGATCCCCTGTGGAAACTCAACATGGTGTTGTTGTCACCATTCGGTGCTATTGCCGTCGCAGGTCGGTATTGTGAAAAGAGTGTCTCTACGTATTTCCGAGACTGAATCACTATTTACCGTCACCTTCAGGATTTGTCTGGTCTGGACACCTTTTCAATTCAGATCCCAACAACCCATTTATGCCAGTTGGTGGTTGCGAGTGAGTTGAGGACCACTTTTATAATACATGTCAGTGCTTCACAACTGACAAGCTTCTCAAAAGAATCTACTATGGTCTCCAGTTTCTCATCCCGCTGGTCTCCTTTGACTTTGTTTGTAAGTACTGCTAA